CTGGTGTACGAAAGGCATTTGTTCGACCCAACACAGAGAGGCGGCATAGCCTCCACGCATTGCCGGTGCTCAAATTCCTCCTGACCTGCTGGAAAAGAATCCGGGGCATCTAGAAGAAGGGGCACGATTTGGTTATGCCGTGTGAGTCAGGGGAAGGAGCAAGATATTCTAATAATCAGTGACATCGGAAAACTGTCATCTTCGGCAGTCATGCCTGAGTAATGCGATTGATGAACTGAAATTTGATGTTGCGCCTTAGAAGCATGTCCACCACTCTGAATTGGCTTGAGTAAATTTGTGTTCGTGCAGCAAGTAAATTTTTCATCATCCGGAGGCAAATATATAGCAAAAAAATAGCCCAAATATCATAATGCTAAAATGCAGTGGAACTGTGGCCTGCATAAATGGTTCGTTAAGACCTGAATATGCAAAGGACGGCGCTGCAGAGTGACCGAAAGTTTTAACCGACGGAACCGAAAGCTGCCATTTGTAGTAATGACCACAGAATATCAGGAGAATTTCGTGTTTACACAAATAATTTATGGCCAAGCTTCATTAATTCTACTGAACAAATTCTTAGCTGTGACGGCATACAAATTTTTCTTAGTTTCTATGGATAAACGGAAAGCTCTGAATTTTTTTTATGGACCTCGAACCCGAAAACCGGCTCACCTTAGAGGTAAAGTAATTCTCATTTCTATTGATTTCCATTTCAAAATTCATGTCAATACGTTACAAGTACTATCACTACAGAAGAGAAAATTTTATCGCACTTTCGTACTAGTCACTGCCGCATGCTTTGAGGCTTTCAGACCTTAATGGTATAACCATGAAGTTAAATCGACTAGGGAATTTCGAAGCCGGTGTTCTTTTCAAAAAGCACAAGCTTCGAGTCAGTCAGTCAGTTCAGATGACCACTTGTTACTGACTGTGGGGGGGGGGTCGCGAAGGCCGACGCATCAGCTAGTGCTTCCAACGTTTCCGATCCAAAGCCAGCGTTTGAACG